TCACTTAAATTAAAAGACAAGAAGCTATTTGAATTTATATGAATTTTCTTTGATGACTATAAGTGATGTGAACCATATATGGGTTGTCTTGAATATTTAGCAAAAGTATGTGTGCGTTTGACATCAGAAGATCGTGACGAAATTCTTGACAAATACAGGAACTACTTGCTTTTAATAACCTCGTCGACATCATTGCTTAAAAGAGCGAAAGACAAAGCCCATAAGCTGAATGATACTGCGGAATGTTCATTTCAACGCATAGAAGTTACCTTATTTTTTAAAAGAATTGATACACACAGGTACATTAATTGATTGTTGTTAAATTTGTGTGTAGGTACATATATGTAGATCAACTTATTTGACAGGAAAATTTATTCTAGTAGTGATATTTTCTTTCTTTACTTTGATGAATTTATTTATTGGATACTATATAAAAAACTGATAAGTATCTCATAAGAAATTTTATCTAAACCATCGTTCTCCACGCTCTGATGGCATCACAAGGTATACCTACGCCTGTATGTGACCGGGCCAATTATATTGGACTCCTGCAGCCGATGTTTGGAATGGGGAATTGCAACGCCTACTAGGACTCATTATAGTTGTAATCCCCTTAGATAGATTCGTTGCAACGGTCTCTTTCCAGTATATTAGACTTAATAAGTTTCCTATGCCCGTACGTGACCTGGCCATTGTATTAGACTCCTGCAGCCAATGTTTGGAATGGGGAATTGCAACGCCTACTAGGACTTATTACAGTTGTAATCCCCTTAGATAGATTCGTTGCAACGGCCTCTTTCCAGAAACTCATTTTCGTCAATGCCGTTACCGTGATTTTCTTATAGTTAATGCTTACAATATCATATTTCTTAGTGACTAAATTATTTTAACTTCGTTTTATAGATAGATATTTCAAGCGGAATTTTTTCCTATTTCAGTAACACAGAGGTTGAAGCCTGGGGCTATATGGGTTGTCTCAAATATTTAGCAAAAGTATGTGTGCGTTTAATATCAGAAGATTGTGACGAAATTCTTGACAAATACAAGAACCATTTGCTTTTAATAACCTTGTTAATATCATCGTTTAAAAGAGTGAAAGACAAAGCCCATAAGCTGAATGATACTGCAGAACATTCATTTCAACGCGTAGAAGTTACCTTATTTTTTAAAAGAATTGATACACAGGTTAGGGACCCATAAAATTTTAGATCTAAAATTTTCACAAAAAATCTAAAATTTCAAGTATCAACTCAAATTTTCTAAAATTTTTTTAAATTCTAAGGAATTTATATCTAAAATTATCAATTTTAACTAAAATTTTCTAAAAATTTTCTTCTTATATTATAGTTTGTGGTACATAGGAATGGAATGCTGCGCAGGTGGAACATTTCAGAATTTCG